TTATATATACCAATGTGGGCCTTAGGTAGAAGTCCAATTTTTTTATAATAATATTAGTAATAACAACAACTACGCAGAGGTCTCATATCACAGGGTAAAAAGCTACTTCTACGTCACTAGGTTGGTTTGCTTTTTTGTTTGTTTAAATAATAATATAGACATCCCTAAAATTAGTTACCGAGCACATGATCACTCTTCAATTTAAAAAACTATCAAGTTCAAATTCTTTTTTTTCCTTTTTAATGTTTAAGTGCAGTCCCTGCCCTAAAGAGCTTGTGAGACGAGAGAGACACAAGCAATGCAAGCTTGCTTAATCTATCCCATTAATGTGCTTCACCAGTATTCTGAATTGACCATTTCTGAGGAAGACAAGTGTAAGCCAGTGGTGTTCCCTCACTGTCCTGAACAGAATCTGCAAACATTGTATTTAGTCCAAATGTATGTCTTACCTGGGATTTGACTCTATTGATACTTCAAACAACAATGAAAACAAATCACAACCTTCACTTGCCCCCCCAAATTTGGCTGTTTCTAGGGTTTCCCTGGAGAGACTTCTCTTCCTCAGACCTTAGTTTCCTCTGCTCAAACCGAACAGCCGAAGTGTAGTGAATGAGAAACACTGGACACCAAGAGTCAAGCAGGAATCAATCTACTTCTCCCTGAATAGTTCCAACACCAGGTAATCCAGGAAGAAAGCTCCATCATTCTGAGGTTAACTCACTTTTCTCACCTCTTCATTCAATGGCCTCTATGCTAAAGTATACAAGAGTGCCAATTATTGCTAATTACAGTGGGATTGCAGTGCAGGTTGCAGGCCTCTATTCAGATTGTACTGTAATATGGATACAATGCTAACTAGCTTTAATGTATCTGAACCTCTACATTCCACTGTATCTTGCAAAGACCTGCTACTTAACTGGTCAAATGCAGACACTGGGTGAAATGCAGGCTCCACTGAAGCTAATGGAAATTTTGCCACTGGCTTTCACCCACAGTCTAAGCACACCCATTTACACTATGTCTGAATTTGGTCCATTGTCGTTATATCATGAATTCGTTTGGAAGATGGGAGACTACGGTGGTGATTTTTTTTTCTTATTTTGAATCTTACTGTGGATAGCTTATACCTTGTTTTAGCCTTTATTTTAATTAGAAATGGTTGGAACCATTTTTAAAAATACAAAAATGTTGACCAAAAAACACGGGGGGAAACAGCAAAAGTTTCCACCTCTGTTTTCCTTATTTTTTGTCCAACTCTAATATAATTATTTCCCTCTTGTTTGTCTTTCCTATCACAAAAGTAGAGGGAATACAATAAGTTAGGAATTTGACTCTCACTACCTTGAGGCAAATCCATGACACTTTGAATGGGAAGAAGATCCTTTGCCTCACAGAAAATATGGCTCAGAGTCATTGAGAAGAAAAACCACACTGATGGCAATCACAGCAAAACAGGAAACTTTCTGCTCTTAGAAAAACATTTAGGTACCAAATTCTGGCTCATCTTCCACATAACTCAGCCTGACTGGCTCACAGACTTATCAGTTTTTGGGTTTAATATTTTTGTTGTTGTTGTTGTTGTTGTTTTAATTCAGTCCTTTGATTTCAGCCTAGATCACACAGAAATCAAACATTGCCGAAGGATAAAGAGATAGCTAATCCAAGCAAGGAAAACAAAGTAGATGGATATGGTAAGATTTCTGAAGGTACATTTCAGGTACAAGGCAGTAAAGTACAAAACCCAACCATATACTGATCTAGAGTATTAGACCAAACCAGTTTTAAAGTCAAAGACTGAGTAAAATGTAGTTTAAATTGCATTTAAAGGATGGATTTTGCACTGAAAAACTGATGGCTAGAGCACGGCAGACAAGGACTGTCTTCACAATGCATGCAAACTTCATAACACTATATAATAATCCTAAGAGAAAGCAAATTTTGAGCTATTATATTTAAACGTATAACCAAAAATGCATAAAATGTTCGACTACAACTTGTTAAAGCTCACAGGATTTCACGGTTTTAAAATATATTTGTATATTAAAAATTCACAATAGGAATACACGTTCTTAGTGTAACACATATTTTCACCTGTAGCAGGTGAAAAATTTTCAAGCAAAACAATTTTTGTAAAAAAAAGTAATTATTTTTCAAAATTGTCCACTCTTTTATGACCAAAAACCAACAATTAATATTTTTCATTTTCCTCTCACCTTTTATCCTTTTTTAAGCCCCTTTTTGAGTGGCAAACTAGGAAATGGGAAAATAAAAAGGAGGGATAAAGAAAAAATGGAGAGAAATGAGAAATAAGGAAAACCTGAAAATATTTGGTTAAAAAATTGTGAACATTTTTGAAAAGTGAAAAACCTGCTTTAAAAACAACAAACAAAAAATCCAAATGTCTAAAATTTCATGTGTTTTTGTGTATTGTTTTTGTTTGTCTGTTTTTTGATCAGCTATATTTTCACCTGGGATTGCAAAAGTTTATTGATGTGCCTCATATGTTAGTGATGGCCAAAGTGATTTCTGTGCATAGTTTTAAGAGAATTTGGGGATTCTTCTGGGTGAAACACATTATTTTGTATAAAAATAAGGTATGATTAGATTAGGGAAGGAACTTTATATGTTGTTTGTATAAAACAGTACTTTATACATTTTTCATTCTACAATCTATAAATATTAAATGTTAATTATGTTTATCTTAATTTTAATAAACATCATGTTTTGACCGAGTTAAGAGGATCATGTATGTAACAATGGGTCATACAATTATGCTATAAAACATTGGGTACTTCTTAGGAATAAATGGCAATATTAGTATATTAATATTATTTGCATGGATTAGTTATGACCAAATTTCTAAATTATGGAATTATGAATGTGGATTGAGATGGGTTTTAAAGGTTATGTTATAAAAAGTGCAAAGCAAGCTAAAGTCATATTTTCAGAGATTTCTTGCTCAATTTATGTGAAAATCCAAAACATGATGCATAAATAAAGGAAGATCACCTTTACTATTCATATATTCCTGGTTTATTTTTTTCAATCACACCTGTTGCTGTACCAGTTTATAAAGTCCCAAAAGATGTACTGTAACTTAAGGGCTTTGTACAGCAAAATAAAGTTTAAAGCAACTTTGCTGAACAGCGGTTACAAGAGATTTTCAGGATCAAAACCATGCAAGAAAGAACAAAACGTTCCAGTAACATTTTTCTTATTTACTTGGTTACTGCGGAGTTCATGATGACTTCTTTTCCTTTTGTTATATCTGAACAGTTTGACAGATTACTGTGACAAGGTTACCCTTAAATTGATAAAAGGTTTGATAGTGTCGGTACATTTGTCAGAAATATCTGACATCACTCATAATGGAGTCTGCACCACGAGCATCAATGGCACTCCAGTCTGCTATTTTCTATTCAGCGTGCAGTGCATACCACATAAAAACAAAATGGAAATGTATAAAAGTCAGGAGGATTAACTAAAGCAGCCACTCATCTTATCCAACACAAAAACTCATGATTTTTCTATGGTTTTGACTAAAATAGAATCTATTTTTATAGCCACACACCAAAATGCAATTAAAAGAATGCTGAGTGTAGTTTAAAGGGTAAGCATCCTACTAGAGTAAAGTTGGAAATGGAAATGTTGTACTATGAGAAATTTACTCAGTTGCAAGCATTTTCAACATTCCCTTGGCTACTGCAGAAGAAAAAAAATGTGTTTTAAGAGCTTCCTTCCTCAGACCTGCCAAGCGTCATACAAAGTGTCTATCACAGTATTTCTGAACAAATCTAGGCAGTGCAGAGATGCATATCACATTGGATAATATTTACATGTATTTTAATTTAATTTACCATATATCTCAAAGCAGCATCAATTTCTGTTCAAATTCTAGGTCTAGGCTCAGATTGATTCTTACATTAGTAAATCCATTTATCAAGCTCTACCTGATATGCTGATTTGCAATGGAAAGTCTTAAAGGTGCCATTCAACTTTGCGGGGGCGGGAGGAAAGACTATAAATACAGCATTGTAGGATTCCATACTTGCTGTCTCTGTTATTTCCCTACCAATGTTCTTATTCTACAACAAAAAATATATTTTTCTTATTTCCAGCCCTAACAACTCAATATGGGATCTGAAAGACAAGCTGGGTTATTTCCTTCTTGTGCATCACCACCAATAATAAAGATTCAGCAAATCAAATTATACCCTCAGCTATACCTTTATTATCCATTATAATCAACTCATTTGCTTAGGTAACTGCCCTGTGATTTGATTTTAGCAAACAATTCTGTTAATGATGCACCAGGAGGAACAAAATTTAGCTATGTGGCCTCTGCAGTGTTAACAGAAATAAAAATCAGTAAAAACTTATATTTGTCACTAAGGTTGGCAGAAATTACTCCAAATATACACAGGGAGCAGATCTGTTGAATAAGAGGGTGACATTTTTACATCATCAGTTTTAAGAGGACATTTTGGTACAATCCCATATTTACTTGGTAACATACTTCTCGAACTTCAGACTTGACAATGAGACACAGCAATCAAAAGATGTGACAAATGACAAATGTGTTTTGTTGTGTGTTCTGCCATGAATCATAATTCTTTGACTGTAAAATCTCTCATAGTAGATGTTTTCTGATTATGTGAATTAATTAAATCAAAGGAAAAGAAAAAGAAAAAACATAGAAAAATAAATTCAGTCTCATGAAGCCATGACTCTCAATTAATTGGATGTCAGTAGATTTTGAACCCTAGATTTTCAGATCTCCAAGCACAGACATCAGCCATTTGAGCTAAAGGAGTCAGTGTTATCCTTTATGTTCACCTTTCACTACCAGGTACATCATGCATCTAAATTCTTGTTTTGAAAATATTAAATCTATATATATACGAGCTTAAAATCTGGCTTGGAAATTTGTCCCTATAAATACGATGGTCAAGTGTATTCATTTCAAACTGGAGGACATGAAATATTTCAATGGCACTTACGGCTGGCAGAGCTTGATTAGGTCCTGGTCAGTGGTGCCGGGTGGAAGGCCTCGAATGTACAGGTTGGTTTTACTCAACTGTTCCCCACTGCTGTTGTTGCTGTTGTTGCTGCTGTTTGTGCTGGGGCTGGGAGGAGCCATGGGGTGGGGAGCAGGTGCATAGGACTGCTGAAAACAAAAAAATCTGTTACTGGAAAATAAACTCATCACCAGCTTGTGTGTCTTACTGAAGCCGCTATGAATTGATGGTAGTTCTGTCCCCCACACATACCGCAATTAATTCTGGGCCCGGAATTTATTTCCCCCATCTTTTAGCTAGGGCAATAATATACAATAAACTTTATTTTTTAAAATCTGAAAGAATAGCAGTTGATAGATTATGCATGCACTTTATCCTACTCACAAGATACGACACCACCATGCTGAATATTTAGGAACAACATTTATTAAATGAAGATGACACACAGCACATGATTTAACTCAAGCTACTCTATGACTAGGGCCCTACCAAATTCACGGCCGTGAAAAATGCATCACAGACAATGAAATCTGGTCTCCCCCGTGAAATTTGTTCTTTTGTGTACTTTTACCCTATACTACACAGACATCACAGGGGAGACCAGCGTTTCTCAAACTGGGGGTCCCAACCTAAAAAGGGGTTGCGGGGGGGTCGCAAGGTTATTGTAGGGTCAGGGCCCTTCCAGTTAAAATAAGGTGAAATTTCAGATTTAAATATCTGAAATCATGAAAATTATTATTTTTTAAATCCTGTGACCGTGAAATTGACCAAAATGGACTGTGAATTTGGTAGGGCCTTATCTATGACCCACTCAGTGTGGGAGCTCACTGAGGAAATGTATTTTCTTGAGGTTTAAAGTAGGTGTGGGAGCTGATACCAGGAATCTGATGGGCATCCAGCACATGCATAAAAAGGTGACAGGAGCTATCGGCACTAGGAAAAGAGAGACAAGGTTCCCAACGTATGTGCTGTTATGCTGGGTGCAGAATGGATGGTCCTGACAGTATCAAAAGGTCAGAGACTAGGTGATCTGGCCTTAAAATCTATGAATATGCACAAGTCTCACAACCTAGCTGAAAAATGGCACTTATGAATGGAGGCAGGTTTATGAGGCAATGTCCACAATACGTTCCCCTACCCTCCAACAAATACCTAGTAGAAAAGAATGCATAAAATCATGTTTTAAATCATTCCTAAGTACCTCTAACATAGGGCAACAACTTTCAAATTTAGCTGCCTAAAACCTCTGATTGAGCCTCAGACTGTACTTACTTCTCATTCTTATTTGCAAAACATTACTCGGCTTTAATTCTTAGAAAGAAAAATATGATCCAGTTTTACAAAAAGGACGACAAGCCTTTTCACAGGTAAACAAGGAGCCTAGCTACAAAATTCGGAGCTAGATCAGAACTTCCCAAAGCGTGAGAGTGTTCAGAGGTGATGGTTTGGTTTGGTCAATTATAGAAACTGCAGCATTAGCCATGAAGTACCAAGCTAAGTGGTCAACTGGGCGAGAGAAGGAAGACCCATTCTGTGCAAGCAAAACACTGAATTTCATTAGCAGCCCAGAGACATCAGCAGTGACTAGATGTCAGGCCGATGGTGAGTTAATGATGACATACTAATAAGCCTATGCAGGCAAAATGAAAGCAATTTGGTGTCTGGCTGTGATGACAGTTGTGTGACCATTATCATATGTTCACACTCAGATACTCCAGTTCTGCAGTTAGACCTTGATTAAGCAAAACATTTAAGCCTAATTTCAAGCACATGTATAGTCCATTTCACTTCACTGGCCCTACTCAAAGTGCTTAAAGTTATGCATATGCTAAATCAGTGTCTTCAGTAGCTGGACTTTTTTAAACTGAAAGCTTTAAAACACTTTCAAGCAGCCAACTACCTTTATTTAGAAGAACAGAAAATATTGAACAGTTAAGTCAGGTATAGATGGTAGATGAAGTTGTGCTCACTGAGAGTCTTTGATGAAATATACACACGAATAACACATTTCCAAAGGTTCCTTCCTCTCCCCCAACACTCTCTCTTCCTCCTCCCAGCCTGTCTCACTTAAACTAACCAAGGGGGGGACACAAAATCAAGTGTTAAGATTTATATACATCCCTACTGTCTAGCCTGGCTGTGATCTGGTTCAGCAGGACTCTCAAGAGAGAAAATAAAGTTTAACAAACAGCATTATGGTACAGTGGCTAGGAAGCACATTCAGTCTGATCCATAGCAAAAGGAAAAATGAACAACTCTGCATTTAATTCTTTCCCTCAGAATCTGTGGAGACTTGTTGACAATCATAGGTTCTTAATACGTGGGTATCATATTATTCTGCATATAAATTTTATCACAGGGCCTTACCCTCTCAAACTGCAATGTCATTCCCGGAAATAGAGATTCAAAGCAGTAGTATTGGGAAGATACTATGGAATCAGCCAAGAGGCTTTCCCAATGTTGTGGTGCTTCATGGAATTAAACTCTCCCTTGCAGAAACAGTACTCTTGGGTAAGAATTTATAAGACTATAACCCCATACAAATACATAAAGACATGGCTATCAAAATACTAGCTCATGTCCCTGTCCAGAAGTACTTTTTTGTGGGCTCTGCAATATATTTGTGGGGTCTACAGGACCTCACTAGTGATTAATGTACTATTTTGGGGTTGGTTCTCCTCCATGGACCTTTTGCTTTGGTTTGAACACCAGCCACCAGCCAAACAATTTGTTTACAGTGATTGTGTGGCTTTAGAACACAAAAAGCTGAAACAATATATCTTCCATTTTTCCTTATGACAATTCTGCAGCTTTTGAGTATTAGTAATGTACAAAGATCAAAATAACATGGCTCCTACTTTATACCCCCTTTTAAGTTGAATTTATATAATGAATGAGTGTAAGCTATTCAGGGCAGGGACATAGTCTACAAGTCAATAAAACATCGTGCATGTTAATTATAAATTATTATTATTATTATACATCTTAGCGTGGGTTCATTATGCAAATAGCTTTTTTTCCACATTAAGTAAATGTCCCAAAATTTAGTGGAAAAGACAAGATATACCTTTCAAACATAAAGAGCAATTTTCCTTTCAGTATCAGATATTTATCCTCATACACAGAGGAAAACACTAGGTGCCTGATTCTAATTTAAACTATGGCCATTTTGTGCCACTCTGCAGAGTAAAGGATATAAAGTATACATTTACACTGATATTAAGGCCAGAGCAGTGTAATGTGCCCTCAGTGTAAATGAGAATCAAGTGCTAGGATGGAAATTCTTTCAAATTACAGCTGAGCAAACACTGGCCACAATCCTGCATGTACAATCACAGGCTGACATCTGCCTTCAGGAAGAGCCCTATTTAAACCAATGGGCCTATGTCTGACTGTACATTGCATGATTGGGGCCTATGTCTGTTTGGACTAGACTATAGACCCCCCTCTACCCTTTTCACATGTAAATCTCAATTCACACACTGCTAATTTTTAGGGACCGCAATTTAGGAACCCCAAAATGCTATAGAGAATTGACACCAAGCTACAAAATGAAGATTACCAATATTCAGTTTTATATAGTCATGTGGCTGGCTGCCATGTTGGAGACCCAGTCCAGGAGAAGGCTTTAGCCTCTTGTTTCCCGAACTGATAAAGCCAGAGCATGTGCTGGAGTAGAAGAGCATTCACTTTGCCCCCAACAGGGTGAAGGCCCTGTTCACCAACCTGCATGCAAGACATAGGATGAAGGGACTCCAGACATACGCTTGCTACCAAACAGTGGTCTCTTTACCTTAAGCATGGTCTAGTGACCTAAGCATAGGCCCAAAAGCAGGAATTCTTGAGTTCTAATCCGGGTTCTAGCATTCTATGGCTTGGGGCAAGGCACTTAATCTCTCTGCCACAATATCCGCAGGGATCATATGAATCCTAGGTATTTTAAAGGCTCTAAAGCAATGACAATGAAAGGGAGATGCAGCTATCCTATATATCTGGCAAGGGAACAATACAAATATGGTCAAACATGGTGCTTATAATGCAACAGTATGATACAAAATCTACATACAGTATTTTATTTCAAGAGAGAGCTGGAAGTCAGAACTGAGTTTTTCATTAATTTTTCAAATAACCAATCCAGAAGATTCATTTTTCAATTCCCATGCTTCGTTATTCAATAAAGGGGGAAAATGAACTGGTTTGTAGATCATTCTAAGCAGCCTATTAATTCAGCGCAGCTGGCTAATAGGATTTGTTTTCATCTTTGAAAAATGAAACAAGCGGCTTTTTTTATTATTTAAAAGTGAGAAATTATACTGTTAAATTCACCCCCACTTTCAGACACCCACCCTTGTAACCCATAGCAGAGCTCTCTGAAACAAACTTTCCCATCCAAACACACACTACCAAGTAAATTGACCAATAAACCTAAATAATGAGACACTTAAGTCTTCCTTACTGAATAATGACATACAAATGCTGAATTAGGAGCCAGGTCAGTTACAAAATGAACGCCAATTCCGGCGTTAGCCTCTTCACACAAGGTTTTTTTCCCCCGTGGCAACCACAGTATCCCTGTCTAGCTTTCATTTGTTGCAAGTTTGGTCTAAAGCTTTTCTCGTCTTCTGATTTAAAGAACGACACTTTTACAAAGAGAAATTTTAAACATTTTTCACATACAATTCCCTTTGGATGGGAATCACAGGTCCCAGATGCCAAGCTGTAGAGTCGGCTTTATTAGCAGCAGCTGGCTCCTTGGCAGGCTTCTCAGGCAGTCAAGCTTGTGGTTTTGGAGTGGCCTCAGAGTCTATCATACAGCTCAACTGCTCTACTGTTGGGCTGGCCAATTTGTTTTGTTCACCTTTGGCTATGCCAAATTTGTACTCTTTTATCCACTTGAAAGTGAAGTCCTGGAATGATCCACCAAAGCATTAATATGTTGACTCACTTGTGAGAGTGTGTATATGAGTACAAACACAGTCCCACATTAAAACATACATTATTTAACCTACAGTGAATACATGTAATCTACTTCACTCTGAACAGTGTCTTTTTAGGCTGAATTCATCTAACTTAGAATATGATTGTCACTCAATTCCCTTAGCTTCTCATTGTGAAGATAAAATAACTCAAGGTAAATACAAATATA